ACAATTTATACTATCGTCGAAAAAAGAGAAGTTCTGATGATTCAAAAATTGTAAATTCTGAGAATGCGATTAGAATTAGTAAATTCTAATTTGTAAATAAACGGACGTTTAAAAATATTTTTGGATCTAAAAGAAATGTTTAAATCGTGGTTTTTCACTATTTTTGAAAAACATTCAACTGATATAATGCAAATTGATGGGTATTGATGCGCTCGAATGTTTATTGTGCAATAAGAAGCGGTTCCTTCCTCGAGAAGAGAATTGTTGACAGCGCAATAACTTGTGATCGATGTGATCCTACGACAAGGTTGCATTTCGTCGATTGACCGTCGTCGTGTTGGTTGTGAAGGCGGATATCATGGCTCTAAATCCAGGCCGCGGGGTTATGCCCCTTAAATCCGAGTCAGGCCGACTGCCAAGAATACTTCGAGAAATTTACTGCTCCGAATAGCAAGGGAGCAATAACGTTCTATAGGATCGGAGTTACGTTTCTCGATATTCCTTTACAGTGATATCTGTTTGTGCTTGAAATATTTATTGTTAGATAGCGCAGATTTAATGTTATCGCGAGTGATAAAATCCAGTGGGATTTAATTAACTAATTGCGTTCTCAGTACTATTAAACGTATTATATTAATGTCCCTGTAAATCAATATATGTATATGTATATATAATGTAGAACATATAAATGAGAACTCATATTTGACTTTGTTGTTACTTATCTGTAAATCAATTTTTTTTTCAATAAAAGTAATGAAGTCATGTTGCTGTCAAATTAAAGAAAGAGAGGAATAGGATTATATGTGAGAGATTATGAATTATGAATATATCAATGAATACATTGATGATATAGTGGATGATGATAGCAACTGAATAATTTTCGGTAATGGATTTGCTTAATCCGAAGACACTGAAAATCCGCTGTATAATCAGTGTTCCTTCTCGCTGTGATATATTTGCGTCGATCGATGCCGTCTCTTTTAAACATTTATAGTACAACGTTCAATAATTACATCCACATGCTATCTTGCTGTGCGATGAATGCATAATTATTTATGTGGCATCTCGGAAATCGAAATTTGACGATTAGATTAATGAATGATTGCAACATATCAAGATAAGTAATAAAGAGCAGGTAATAAATAATATAGCGACTATGGTCTCGAATTACTGCACTTAGATTACAATACAATATTGTATCATATTAATAATATTCACTGCACGATTGAAATATTCACGTTTCAATTTTAATCTTTACAACTTGAGGTGAGACTAAAATAAAATATGCGGATTGTCCTTTATATGGGACATTAATATTCTTCGAATAATAAATAATTAAAATTTAAGAATTTTTGCCAACTAGTCATAAATAATGCAAATCGATATTAAAATTTTATTTTATTTTGAAAGATTTAGTTTTTAAGAATTAATTATATAAAAGTTATCAAGATTTTGTAAAAGTTATGAGAAAATGTGTTGTCTATTTAAATTTTTTTATAAAGCTAATTTTTATAAAATTTGATTTTTAAAATCTATTTAAATTTAAAAAAATTTTAATTAAAAAGAAAACGTACAGATTTCATCAAATTGGTCAAAACATATGTATATGAAAAGAAATAAAATTTGAAATGCATATTTTATAATTTACAACGCGTTACAACGTGTTACTCGTGTATAAATTTATTTGTTACTATTCTTTCTCTTTCATTTCGTTTGTCGGTGTAAGAGATTAAATCTTGGTCTTAGCTTAGTGCAAAGCTGACGCAGAATTGCGCTTGTGCTCGTTAGTGCGCCTTAACACAAAGCCAATGTTTCGCTACGTTAGATTTCAAATGTAATTTTGTCGCATTCGTCGAGTGTATGTCATTAGCTTGACGAATAGTGTCAGCGGCTACAAAGCTAAGTATGCGACGACAGAAAATGACCGCGTTTTCAAAGCAATCCCGTCGCGTGATGATGCTCGTTCCATTTTCGCAAATTAGTTGTGATAGCAACTGTTGTTTAATATTCTCATTCTTACACACTGTTGTTTCGTCTCTCGTTATATTTAGACATGCCTAAAAATATGTTTTTTTGAAATATTGTATAACCCGATTGTGATATGCATAACATAAGGATGCTGTTATTACTGACACTAACGGTAAAATTACGTGATGATAAAATTGAAACTAAGTATTATCGACAAAAGAGCTGGGATATAATCGAAGATTAATACTTACAACCGTTTTTTCTGGATCGATGAAAGTACGAGGCCTAAAATAATGCTATGTACCACGTGGATATAATGAGCGGTTGATACCGTAAGTGCAGTTCTTGTTCAGTGATGTTACAGCTATAGCACGTACTCGTCAATTATTATATGAATATACTATGACATAAATATAGCATGAATGCAAATTATATTGATTACATTATAAAATAAATATTCAATAATTTTATCATTTATATTTCTTTTCTAAAATACATGCATAATTCAAACTTTATAATATTTATATAATTTTTGTTTTTAATAATTGTAATCATAAAGTTAAATTTAATTTAAAACAAAATAAACAAAACCCAAAATTACATTTTTATTAATTGCATAATGTAAGTATTACTTTTAGCTATCAGATCAATTGTGATGTTGCCGTTTTTTTGTATAATCATCAATGTTCAAAATTAATATAAATTTAAGGCATTCAAGGCCGAATATATGGGCTTTTCGCAGTATTTAGTGTTTTAAACTATTTTATTCTTACACTGTGCGGACATCTGAAATGTCTCTGAAAGAATTTGTCGCATTTCCATACCACTAGAAAAGCCAATATTTATCCTCGCGGTGAGAAGTCGTTATTTTCAGCGATAGAATGCAGAACCGAATAGTAGAGCCAATAAATCTACATATCCATAGTTTTCCGAAACCGTTCAAATTTTTCCCAAGCGATCAACGCGGCATTTTTTTAATATGCGCCTTCGAAGGTATACCAGAAGATGCTCTATTCTATTGCTTCTATTCTATGCTCTTCTATTGGAACAATTTTCCGCTTGGAGTGTGATCTTGGCAATTTCGGTAGAATGCACCGAATTTTTGAGCTTTTGTGCAAAGACTTTCTATTCTATGTTTCGTCTCTTTTTCCTTTATTTTCATTAACATCCAATGCCAATCTAATAAATTGATATTTTTAAATATGTGGTAGTGATGGACAAAAACGCAAGAGATATATTCCTGAATTCTTTCTAAATTGAGAAAAAAGCAAATAAGCATTCATTGTCAGTATAATTTTCTAATAAATTCCTAGGCTTTGCATAGTTTTGCTAAAGCTACGTATCTGTGTTAAACTTAGTCGATGGAACCTTTGGCAGCGGGAAAATGGAATAGACTGGATAGTCATGGAATCGTTTCGCTGGATTATCGTGCTAGACTTACCGCCGGAAATGATTCCCGCGGCTAATTGAGCGTGCTCGATTGCCTCGCGACTCGATTACTTTTCAAACTTGTCGCAGCGCGACACGTTTTCCTCGCGCGAGAATGGTGGACAATTTACGGCTGACGTTTTCTATATTGAAAATTCTCGCGGGTCTCGGCAGTTCTGCCTTTACAACATCAGACAGATGACGGACACTTTGCAAACATCGAGTCAAAAGCATCGGATTATAAAAATGAGCAAATTATATTTTTTGTCTATGAGGCAAACGATATTGGTATTTTTTGTTTTGGCAAATAACTTAATCGATCGGAGAAAGTTGACGTGTTCTGCAAAAGAGAATGTATTTCTTAAAAAATAAAAAAGAGACGTGAAACTAATATCTTCTCAGCATATATCATATTTCTCTGAATATGTCGATATTGTGATTCAATCAAAGCATTAGTCGACTGGATATCACTAGGTACGATCATCGGCCGTTCCATCTGCATGTATTGCGATATCATTCGATTATGATGCTTGGTTGAATCGTAATTATGTCTCGCAATTCGCAGTTGAAATGGGTGACAGTCTGACTGGTAGATAGCTACGACAGCGTTAGGAGCTGAGTATGTCGTCTTAACAGCCCTGGAGACACGGATGGCACATAGAATAATAGGTTACTCCTGGCAAGCTGGGTTAGTCCCTGTTAGCAAGACCGAGAATGCACAATGTATGCAAACACTGTAGATCGCGTTCCCGTATTCTCCCTCCCTCTTCCACTCCCTCACCCCCGAAATACTCGAATTACTGTTCTTCGTCCAATAGGATGCTCGCCTGGCTGTCAGGATGCTTTTGCAGCTCTCTTCGAAGCTAATGGAGAGGCGCGACGATCTGTTTTCCTTAAAGCACTTCAGCCATCTCGCAGCGCGTTGATCTAGAGGAAATGGTGCGATACGTCTCGCCCGTGGCAATTTTCTTTTTGCGAAATATATCGCTATTCCCCTCGCAAACTCCACGATGTCGACGCATCTCGATGTACAGAGACTGACATTGAACGCGTTTACATTTTCTGCCGTTATTAAATGCTTCCATTTTCCATAATTACGCGTTTGATGGTGTATTAAAGAAATGTATTTACTTACCTGAGAAATGAAAACGTAAATAAAGTGAAATAGTATCTCACACAATTTTTACGATCATATATGATACTTTCCGGAAATAGTATCAAGTGGCTCGTAATTCAGATAATAAATATTTGTTGATAAAAAAAGTTCATCTTCTTGATAGCATGACAAAGTTGATCGAAATATATTTTTGATTGAAACATAAATCGAGATAAGTATCGGGCAATATAATTACATTTCTCATTAGATTTATATTGTGTAACGTGATATGTACTCTCGCACTATGTACATTGAATAGAGAAATTTCTTTAATGTTTTAAAAATATAATGTGAGAAACAATGAAAGTGTAACCAAAGTACACACGTCGCGCGAATAAATTCGTCTCACGTACCATAGGAATTTTGCCTCTTTGCTGTATATTTTTCAACCTTAATGGAAAGGAGTAATGAAAGGTCAAGTGAAAAAAAAGCGAATGAGACAGGCTTATTTGTGTAAAACAGATGAAACGTATTCTCTTTATTCGTATTCGTATGCCATCGAATTTTATCTTACGCGATCGGACATTTCTCAGCTTAACGTGTAACGAATTGAAATTCGGACATTAGTGACTATAATTCTAGGGCCAGGCTCGTGTCTATTTACAATAGATCTTTGTACAAAAACTAGTTTCATATAAACAGTAAAACCCACGTCCGTGTACCGCGTCAGTGATCGGGAACGAAGACGTCGCTCCTTAAAGAGAGAATTTTCTCGAGTTTCGGCGAAGTCTTTCGAAAGAATATGTCTTTTCTTGGGTCGTTATAAAAATTTTGCGTAAGAAAACATGAGCATTGATGAGCTTCGAATACGATCACATTAATATTGTTAGTATTTTGAGAGTAAGGCTGGAGAATAAGCTTTGATCCATGGATAATACATACTCTTCTTAACCGTATTATTTTATAAAACTGTCAGAGCAACCTGAAAGTAGCTTGTAGATTGTAAAAGTTCCAAAAGAATATGTGAAGTATATATAAAAGACGCTGTTTTGTGCGCGACTTGGAAACCGGAAGTATGAATAAAGTATAAAGCCACCGTTGAAATTTTCTCTCAGCTCACTTTGACCCAGCCTCATCTCTCTTCCTTCTTGTTATTGATGTTAACTACTTAGGGGTTAGACTCTTTGTACGTTACGATATACCGTTTATACCTCAGTATATGGCAGTAAAGAAATAATTCTGGACATGTATAGGTACTCCTTCTATTTTGCTAAAGTCGTTTATCTCGATTTTCCGGTAAAATTATGAAAACGTAGATATGCCGTCCACGGGACGGCATCGAGATGTAGCGTAATTTCGAGAGGAGATCGCGTTCCTGGTCAATACGATCCGAAGCGACCGCACACCAGTTTCTCTCTACTGTTTTGTTTGGTAAACGTTAAGTGTATTTCGCGGAGTAGTTTGTAACTCGCGCACCAACTATGGGAAGATAGACTTCGCGTTCGCGTCTCGTGAATCCACGTGAATCTCTAACGCTGTTCTCTTCGCTCGTATTCGTTTACATTTACGCGTGTAAATATAATCGTCGGCGGCGTCTTAGAAGCTCACGAGGTCGATCCCGCAAGGGGAATTCCTCCGAACTTATATACAGCTCTCTTGTATCCGATTCGAGCGAGTCACCACTTCCGGTTGATGGAATTTGCCTTGCGCGGACACCGACGATGAAACGGGCCTCTGCGGCATCGAAAGCCCTTTGCTCGTCCTCTGAAGGCTATAATATACCTGAAAGCAAGAACCACATCCGATATTTATCAGACTATTGTATTGATTAATGAAATATATACATCTGCACATTGCACAATTTTTATTTTGACGTATAAAAATTGTGCAATATGCTTAATACAGATATTAATATATATTTAGAATAGATTTTTTAAAGATTTGAATTAAGTTTATAAGTCATATAAGAAAAAAAGAAAAAGCTTTAAATAAATCAGTGAGAATTTGCGCGACAACAAATAATGTGTACCTACTTTTTCCCATTTTATTCGCATATTTATGCGCGATCGAGCAAACGACATATGTCACATATGTTTGCAATTTCCTGAATGGAGAGAGCAGCTTAAGAATATTTTTGTGATCTTCCTGCGTTTTGTCATCTCAGTTATATATTTTTATATATACATTTATAAATTTATAATTTATAGTTATCTGTGATAAGAATTTTAACGAATGTTAATTAGCACTTTTGTGTGGCTTTGTTAATATAATTTTGATGTAATTTAAGGCTTCGACGAGAAAGTTGTCGATTAATTTTTCTTTTCTCGCATTTAACACGTTATAATTATTCAGGCATTTAATAGAAAGCGATCGCTTAGGAAGAAGAGCGGAAGTCGAATACGAGACGAGTTACGTGCATCGGGGCTGGCCTCGTCGAATTATCGAGAAAACTTCGACGTAATTAAACTTACGAAAGCGCAGATAACTCAAGGCTCTGCTAAACCGGAAAAGTTAAAGTGGGAGACTGCCGCATATTGAAGCAACCGATTCCTTCTCGCGACTAACTTCCCATCGCTTGCTTCTAATATTTAAAACGATCTCTCTAATTTAGCTTTACAAAAGTATAGACGAAGCAATATTTCGATGGGAACGTGAAGATCAAATCAAGCATTACAAAGTCGTTGCGCATATTCGATATATTCGAGCATAATTTGACCAATTTTTAACTTGTTATTTTTAACTTCATATCGCTTGCATATTTTCCGAAAATTAACTGGAGTTGATACTAGTTTATAATTTTATAGAAATATTAAATAATAAATGCTATTATGAAAAGTTTTCATCAAATAATGATTGTATTTGTTAGTACAATTGCTCTTGTTAAATTCAACATATAATTGCATTTTATTTGTAAAAATTGCAGCTCATTAATTGCTTCTTTGACAAAAAAATCAGTCTTTATACGAGGGAATAAATTACGATATTTAAACATAATCACTTACGTTTTGGTTATTACGCTGATTGTAGGCGTCCATGGCCATCTGTTTGAAATCAGCCATCGTGGGCGGATGATTATAAGTGCTTTGCTGAGGCACATGATTTTGCGGATAATTTAGGGTGGGCGTTGGCAGACAGTCGGTCAACATCGGATCCGGAGGCAAGTCCAGACCGTGCTGAACGATCGGCCTTTTCTCCGGTGAGGCGTTCTCATCGGTGGCGCGATCTTTCTTTCTTCGTTGTGGTGGTGTCTTATAGACGGGGGTGTACGTTAAGGGTCTTCTTTCTAGGGACAGATTTACGGAAGCCATGCAGAAACGAGCGTCTGAGCCGCTTAATCGATTAAATCAAGAAAGGGATGGTTACTTTATAAATACTATCTCTTGTAAATGCAACAACCATCTCGGGACTGATTCGTGTCGTATTTTTTTTATCGCGTCGAGAAAGGCGAGGATTTGCACTACTCTATCGATGAAATTTTCATTACAAAACGCGGATTCTACGAGAAATATCTCGATTTTTAAGCATCTCAATCCAACCTCGTTTTCTCGACATTATCATTATTCGCGGAACTCGCCCGTCGACACAGTTCGCGTATTAATATCGCAAATGGAAATGTATTTTCATGGAAAAAGTAACATCGCGCTGAAATGAATTTAAATGAGAAGTTTGTTTCACGGACTTGCTTACTATATAAGTACAAAAACTAACATTATGTGCTTGTTATCGTATTCTTGAAAAATAATGTCAGAATTTTATTATGTTCACGTGGATTTAAAATATGTATATATAATGTGTTTTTTCAATCGTACACACTTCCTTCCTGTCTCGTTCGAGAATATCTTGCACAAGACTTAATTCGTAGTTACCGCAATTTTAATTATATAAAAAGCTCCATTGGATTACTATTACTCGGTGGTACAATTTTGCACTCTAGAAATGAAGTAGTAATTTATAAAAAGAATTGAATAATAATATATATCGTATTTTTAATATTATTATAAATTCTGCTATTATTATAAATAATTTTTATACATTATAAATAAATGAGGATTAACAAAACATGTAATTCCAGATATACGAGAAATCAATGTCATAATATGGACATATTGAAAATTAGGAAAATTTAAATGTATATATACATTTCCAAACTTAGAGGCGAGCAACGACAGACTTAAGCTTAATTTAATATTAAATACGTTTTCGTTATCGCTCAATTTTCTGCATTATTTATTAGTCTTTACCGAAGTTTACACGAAAGTCGTCATATTTTATGTAATATTCTATGATGTTATTTGACTTGATATTTAACGACTTTGCGGCTCTTAGGATTAGAATATGATTAAAAAATTTGTTATATATCTAACTATTGTTAGATGCAAATTATCTGTAAGTAAACTCTAATAGGAGATATTTTTTATCTTTACATGCATCATGTAAATTTTGAATAAATTATATGCAATATAATATAAAATTGCATAATAAAAGTTTGTAAAAGAATGTAATGAATTTTTTTTACATATTCAACCACATTTTGTATTTCTCAAAAACTAAAATTATTTTTATGATCCTCTCTCTCTCTCTTTCTCTCTTATCTTGTGGCTTTTCGATCTTTTTTACAAAATTCACGGTAACAATGAAAATAATGCATATGCGACGGCTCATATAGGTATATTGTCGTCGACATAAAAAAAAAACAATCAACAAAAACGCACGCACAAGCAAATTCTTTTCTAACGATTGGGTTATCGGCCAATATCGGGACTTACCATACTCGTTCGGTATGATGTCCGGATCGATGTCATCGACCGCCTGTTTGGTCTGAGGGTGCACTGGGGTGGTTGCACCTGCATTAGGCGGCTCGCATACGATGGGAGCGTGCTTTGGACTTCCGGGTCGGCCGGTGGAGTGCTTCCGGTAGAGCGCCGCCAGGATTCCAGCAACGGCCAGGGCCAAAAGGGTCGCCATGGCTGCCAAGCCCAGCAACAACGGATTCAGCATCGATGCGTTGGTGTTGCCTGCCGCGACAGTCGATGCAAAATGCTCGATCAACTGGAACTTCTATCGATCTTCGTTCCTCCCTCCCTCCCTCTCCCCCCCCCCCTTTGCTCCTCGCGATATAACAACTCGAGACTCCCACCCCCTTTTTATCGAATCCTACATTCTGTTCAACATAGAGTAGAACTTGGCAACTCGTAGAGTAGGAAGCGTTACAAGTAACTTTTCTTTCATCACTCGCTTTCTCGCGTATCGAATGAGGGGGAAGGAAGAGGGAACGGCGATACGAATTAAGGGTTGGTTTTCCAATTACCAGCGGATTGTGTTGCGCTGCTCGCTGGATTGCTGCAAATTCGTGAATAGAAACCGAGGATTGTAATAAATGTTTTGTACGTTCCGGCATACTCGGAAATGATTTTTCCAGACGTACCACTGTAGCTTTTATCTTTGTCTCGGTAAACGAAGGTACGAGAAAGGAAGCGATTCAATATTTCCCTATTATCGACGCGTGACAACGCCCTGCACAAAGAGTACGTACAGCTGTAGATCGAAAAGAGATCGTTGAACGGGTGCACTGCCTTGATATATATCGCAAAGCGCTGTTCTGAAAGTGGCCTGATTGCGAGAGCTAAACTCCCTCCTCTCCCACTCTTTGTGATAATGCCGCTCGCAGGGTGGGTGCAATCGTTAAAGCTTGAACCGCGCTGGAAAAAAGATTGTAACTGCTGTTCGATGCGATAGTTTGTTATGCCAACAAACTCAATTTCGCATTTGTTTATTGTATAAGACAAACTCGATTAAAATTATATCTCCAATCTTTTTTTCTCTCTCGCTACAATTTCATTGGATTACATCTCCGCGGAATATTACGCAATGTCACAGCATCATAATACTATATACACTTTGATCGCGTATAAAAGACCAGTTTATGTTCCAGCTGTGATTGCAAGCGCATAGTTTTTTTCATCTTTTATCAATATTCTGAACAATGTTTCCTCAACTTACTCGTAATTACATTTACTTTATTTTTTTTATTAAAGCTAACTTTTAATAACATAGCTGTAATATTCCTTTTTTAAATAAACAGATACACGGTTGTAGAACCATCCATGTACTTATGATTTTTCTGTTCAGAAAAACATTTCATGAAATAACATAAATAGCATTCTTTCGTGCATTCCCTCTTTTTATTACAGCAATCTCCCTGACTATCAAAGAGACAAGCGTCATCAATATCAGGCGCCCGGTTTAATAAGCGTAATAATAATTAACGTAGGTATGTCTATCATTATAACTCAACCCCTCCATGTACATAGG